CTACCGCATCTTCCAGCAACGACGGGACAGGGTAGTCCACCTGATTGGACACCCTTTTCCAATTTCGCATCGGGATGTCCCAGTTGCCATGCGCCGCTTCTGGGCTGCCCTGTGGAGTTCTCAGCGATTTCGGTGATTTCAAAATGTAATGAAAATTGTTCAGTCCTCGTCTGTAGTCCATCTGAGGACTGAAATTTCCTTTGTTGCATTTCGACGCGCCCACCAGGCCCCTGGGTAAAGGCTTGGCTGTGTAGGAGAATCTGGGATATTTTGCTTCAATCTTTACCGGGACGTGCGGCTGCGTGCTGAAGGTGCGTGTTTCCTTCTGTGTTGTGGTTTCGGTTCGTTTTATATCAGTGGAAGTACTCTTGCTCCTCGAAGATACTGTTTCATCCGAGGACTCTTCATCGCTCCGGTCATCATTCTGTTCGCATTCTCCCTTAGCCTCGATGGACCAGCTCGAGTCATCTTCGCTGTAGAGCTGAGCACGATCTCGGCTAGTGTACAACGGGGTCTTTTCCGAGTTAAAAGTTGTTAAATACTTATTCGTTTCAATCTTCCTTTCCCAAAACCTTGCTTTCTTAGTCCCCGGTGAATTTTTTTCATTCATGGAGCCCCACTTGTCTTGGCTGTCTGTAAACATCGAGCCCGATGCGTCAAAATTATTCGACTCGTAAACATCTTTGAAGCCTGATGTTATCAAGTTATACTCGGGGTTTGCGTGTCTTGTGAACATAGAGCTGCGCGGGTTAGCGGCATGTGGCCCCGCTATAGACGGGTATTGTGTTCTGGGATAATCCGAAAGCATACGCGATTCTGAAGGCACGTGCAAAGCCCTCGTCGACAGAAACCTGGACCTGGCGGGTGCGAATGAGTCTCGTGAGCCAGGTGAACTGGGCAGCATGGGCAGGTTTCGTCCCATGTGAGAATTGGTGGGAGATTTGTTGGACGTGGCTGTAGTGACAGGTGACGTCACCATTCCCGATGCAACAGCTGACCGGCCAGGGTCCGACCGATAAAAGCGATGCTTGGGTGACTCTTCGATGTGAAAATCCATTCTCACGTTTTGTCTGTTCCTAAATGTCCTACTATCGAAGTTGCTGCAGGACGCTGGATTTCTTCCCCGCCAAAAATCTGAACGGAAGTCACCGCCAGCCACCGTGACATGACCCTCGCCAGTATCGTCTGCATAATCCGCCATTCTGCCCGGACTAACTTTTTCTGTGCGGACGTTATACTTCTGCGAGGCTTCACCTACCTGGCTCGTCTCATTGATACTGTTTGGGTTCCTCATGGTTTGGCCATCCGTTTGGTTCAAGTGACGGTCCGCGGCTGCCCAATTACTCGGTGCCCTCAACGTGTTCGTAGGGTTCCCCGTAAGAAGCTTCTCCTTCTGCTTAACAGAGAGAGTTTTCCAGCTGCTAAAAAACTCGGAGGACTCTGAATCTGACGCGGACGACGACGCGCGTTCGTTGCTGCTGTTGGTTGAGTTGCCCACCGCAGCGTTCTCCGTGTACGTCACCTTCTCCAGATGTTCAAAGTCCTCCATGTTTCTGTCCGTTTCAGGCTCCACCCTCACGCGAATGATCTTAATGGGCTGGATTTTGATGCTTCCTTTAAAGTCGCTACCTTCGCCGTGGTCCGAGGTCGAGCTCATGGGGGCTGATAAACAGTTCGACGCGCTTTGGTTCGTCGATTTTTCGTGGGCTCTTGCCCTTCGTGGGGGCGACGCCGTTGTTATTTTAGTCTTCGCGATTTCGTGGTTTTTCGTCTCACTGGAAGTCGGCTGGTCTGTGTTGTTATTTGATTCGGAAAAGCTCGCTGAGCGGTAGGTCAGCTTCCTTTTCGCAGAGTCCTTGAAAGTCGCCTGTTTTTCCGTGGATGACTGATGGGGCTTATATCTGTCTGGACTCGTCGCTCTACCCGTTCTAACGTAGCAAGCTTTCGATACCATCATGGGCTCCGGGTACTGTGTTTTCTTGCGATCCGACGCTGGTTTGCCAAGCTTCGTTTGTTCGTGGCCCCCGCGGCCATCTTTCACTTTTCCACCGCTCTTTTTAAAGACGTACTTCATCGGTTTGGTGCAGTACACTTGCGTGCTAATGTCAAAAGATTTCGGCTCAGGTCTTGATTTCCCTTTGTTTTCATGTCGGGCATCCTCGTCGTCCGGTCCGGCGGCCCTGTTAATTAACTCTCGTTCTTGGTGTGAAGGTTCAGTGCCGATCTGTGTTCCTATCTCCGTAGTTCCAGGTCTTTGATAACGATACAAACTATCTGCGTAAGCAGGGTTCCTTGATAATCCCACAAAATTCCCAAGTTCGTATCTAAAATGATCTCCTGCGTGTACGCTGCATTCGGTGTCAGTGAAACGTGCGGGTGAACCTGCATCGCACGGGATGTGAAAAGAAGTGCACGGCGCGCTGCGGGCGGAGAGCTGAAGTAAGTCCTTGAGGTAATAATGCACCTGGAGGCAGACATCGGTGTCAACTGCTTTGTCGCAAACACTTGACATTTCACCTCGATTAGTGTTGTGAACGACTATGTCACCGAAGTTGTCGCCATATTGAGCATCTGTCTTAGAACTAGGTATGTCTCGGTCACGTCTTTGGTTTAACTCCGTTTTCTGGTTCTGACAAATAATCAAAGCGTTATCACTTGTACGCATTGATTGCTGCTTTTCATCGTAAGTATTCTCTTCTTTGCTCAAACCTCTTACTTGGTCAAAATAGCGTGGAGATTTATTGCGATGACTGGGTCCGGTCTCGTTGACTATCTGATACTTGGCTTTTACCTTAGACTGCGGGCAATCGTTTGGCGGCCTGCTGCCTGTGACCGGCTTACTATGTGAGTTACGACAGAACTTTACGGTTGTCTCACATTTTTCCACATCGTAAGAGTGGCTGCATTCGGATTGATATAAATCCTGGTGGTCCGAAGCGGAACGCTCACAGCTCGACGGCTCGCGCTGCTCCGCTGATTTTCTTTGATTCAAAGCTGTCGCGGGGTTCAGTAAAGTAATTTGGTTCCAAGCCGGTGCAGTGCGCTGGCTCGCATCCCTCCAGATGCCACCCTTACCGCTGAAAGAAGGCACGTGGAGTGTGTTACATGGAGACAACGGCGGACGAGATCCGCAGACGCTTGAGATTTCGGTCGCGTCGGCGACGAGGACCTGCTGCATGCTGGGCACACTCTGGGGTGGGTATTTAATAGTTGGGAAGAGGCGATAGTTTTGTGGAGGGAAATTTTGACCTGGTCTACTGTAGGATATGTCCATTTTAGCACAACTCTGTAAAGACGATTCACGGTTATGGAAACAGGAATAGAGTTTCTCTGACGCCGTCGCTGGGTAGTCATTTCTCCTAGCTGCGTCAGAGTTTTCCAAAAATTTTATCGACTGTGACTTATTGTGCGACAAGACGGTCATGGCGTCTTGCCGTGGCCCCCTCTCCACCCCGTGATACATCAATGAGTGGGGACTCGGCATCCCACCCCAGGTGCCTCTGTCGTATGTCTGCGGCCTGGTTATCGCGGGCGCAGAAGTCGGAGGTTTATAAGTCGGTCCGATAGCTTCATTGATTACAAGCGACACGTCAGGGCAGCTGTGTTCCCTCCTTATGCAGCTGTTAGGCCTATGCCTTCTCTTTGCGGTATGTCCAGCTATTTGTCTGGAGAAAATCTCTGACGCCTTTGCATTGATGAGACGAAGTAAGTGTGGACTGCTTGGCTCAATGTAGGTCCCGTCAGGATCACTCTTACTCTGGTCATAACTTTCATAGTTTGGAAATCTTGAGTTATGATCGGAATGCTGAAATTCAACCACTCTTTCCGGTGAGTGCATTTGACCCTTAACATTAGAGAATTTCAATTTGGTACCAACCCCAAGTAATTTCGCCACATCTTGGACCTTTGTCGTGTTGCCTGCCTTCTCTCTGTGCAGCGGTTCTGTGGTTTGGTCGTAGACAGCCTCCCGGTGATCCCGTAAGGAAATGCTCCATGCTTTCGATTGAGTATGGACGTCCGTGAGGGTGCCTGATTGACCGAGTTTGGAATTGGAGGTAGATAAACAATTTAGTTTAAATGCTAAGAATAAGAAGTTGAAATTTTTTTTTTACATAGATTTTAATTATTTATATAGATTGACATGTTTTTTTTAAAACAAAAAGTATACATTGCACCATTATGTATACTTATAGCTACCTTTAAACTTTGAAGTTCAGTTGACATGGCGCTTTTAACACATTTTTCTTTTTTTAAAGCTCTTCCCCCCACCCCCTTTTTTTTTTAATAAGAAGAGTTACGCTTACCCAGCTTGTTAAAGAGTTGTCCGCCTAGCTACAGAATGTTTAAACATTAATTTTAAGGAAAAGTCTTCAGCACACAAAAAATAAAAATCACAACAACCTTCTGTCCATTTCCCGAAATCAGCAGACGTCATTGTGTCCCTTGTCACCAGTCTCATGTCCTCACTGTTGTGTCGGTCTAAATCTACCATTAGGCTTTTAGAGCTCAAGATGGCTGCTGGGACGGGCGAGCTCTCCTGCCTTCGCGTCGACGCCTTCAAAATGATTGGATATAAGAACACGTGATTTAACTTAGGAGTTATGGTAAAAACGTTGGCTTAGTTTTAAAAATAATTCTCCCTTAAAAATACTAATTAAAAATAACACATTTTCATGTGTTTTTTTATTGTGTATGCTCTGTTCACTGATCAACAAACATTTACTTACACCTTAATGTTCAGAGATTTCATAAACATTACAATCACACAAGCGTACCCTCTTAAGTTTTTGCCAAAGCTTGCCAAGTTGTGCCCTGAATCGCCCACTCTTGCCCCTGGCGGTGAACACATCCTTCTGCTTCCGCACGTGGTTGGTGTACTGCACGGACCCCACATCGTCAGCGTCATTGGCGTGGTTGTCGTTTCTGAACCCGCGTCTCGTATCGCTCTTCGTCCTTGACTCCGGACGCACGCGGCCATGCACATCCCGCGTAGACCCGAAGGACTGCACTGCTTTGTCGAGCGGTTGCTTCCCTGGGCCTGTCTGTTCTGAGGCCAGCCCTTCTGGTCGAGTTTTGAAAAACAAAATTTGGGAATAATTAGCGGCGCGATGCAGTTCTAGCGGTCTGTTTTCTTCAATAATCTTCGACATCTCCTCCATGTTTTGCGTGCAATCTTTATCTGGTGAAATCTGCTCAGCCGCGACCCGACAGTCTCTTTCCATTTTTGAAAGCCTCTCAAAATGATCGTCTCTTTCTACACTGTAATATTCGTCGCTTGTTAACTTCGATCTACTATTCTTTGTTGGGGAATCCCTGTTAAAATGTTCTCCTTTCCCGCGGGAAGTTCCCGATCGAATGTCCCCATCCCCTAAGTCGGATGCATTCTTGTGTACATTTCTAAAAGAATCGCCCCTTTTCTGCTTATGAGATCGACCGACTTTTCTCGCCTGCGTATTGGCCATTCCCGGTGGTCTGTAGATAAGCTGTTTGTCCTTCTCGGTAGTACTGATGTCTTTAATTTTGTTCTTAAGAAACCACCACCAGCATGCGATAGCGCAGATCGGTACGGACAACGAAACGGCCACGATGACGATGTACAGGACGGTGTTGCCAGATATCGGTTTGGTGGCCACGTCCCTCCTCGTCTTGTGACGCTTCGCCGCCATACCCTGGGCGACCCGGTCGTCTTCGGGCTCGACGTCCTCGCACGTGGACCCGCTAAACCCCTCTAAACATTGGTGGCAGTAGCCGGTGAACGGATCACAGTCGCTGTCCAAACAGTTCAACGGACAGGTCATTTTACAGTCCTGGCCGTGGGTACCGCGGCTGCATTTCTGGGAGCACTTCGTCCCCTCGAAACCGACCCGGCACCGGTCGCATTCACCGGTTTGGGCTCCACAAGACTGGTTGACGCAGGACCCGGGGCACGGAGAAAGACAGTTGGCTCCGTAGAAGCCATCTTTGCACTGCTGTGTGCAGTTAGGGGGCATAAACCCAACAGGGCACGGAGAAGAAACGGCGACATTTACGAGGAATATAATAATAAACACATTCAAGGCAATGGACTGTTTCCGGCCCCAGTTATGTAAGAGAAATTGTTTAAGGCAATCAAGGGAATACAAACGTGATTTCGGCTGATTCATTTATCCAAGCACTGTTTAGAATCATTTGGATTGAGTGTCGTTTGATCAAGTATACTAATAAATGTAAGCAGGGTCGGTTTGTTTCGATTTTAATCTAACCGGGAAGCTGCACGCTAATCATCTAATGTAAACAAATCATAATTTGCTTCGAAAACCACATTCTGTTACCACGGTCACAACTTTTGGAATGTGGTCAGATACAGCCAACGGTGGAAGGACAGTTTTACGATCGGCACAGTGACATGGGCTAACCATAATTCCGAACTACCTTCTCAATTGTCGTATAGACTGAACTGAGAGGGGTTGGGAATCTTTGCCTCCATTTTCCTGTGCTCGATAACTCTCGTGACGTTTAAGAATTTATTTTGAGAGTAAGCAGCTTAATCTGATGACGCAAATACGTATGATTTCTTTAAATAATCATATAGTGGAAGTAGATTTTTTTTTTAAACACGTCTTGTTATTAAGGGGGGGGGGGAATTTAATTTGCGGATTTGGGGGGGGGGATGGTGTTGTGCCACCAGGCAAGCTGCCACTCTGACTCTTCTAGCACTGCCCCGACCCCACCCCGTTTCTATAAAGCATTTAAAAGGTTTGTGACATATCAAGTCAAGCCTTAACAAATAAACTTTCAAAATGTGTTGTTTTGTTGTTCGTCCTTTGCATGCAAAAAAATAATAAAAAATGACCAAGGCTATTATCAACAGTGAATACTTGAGGTGGCCTGCCAGTCATGCGAAGATGACCAAGGCTATAATACAGGGTGAGTAAGCAGGTGGCCTGCCAGTCATGCGAAGATGACCAAGGCTATAATACAGGGTGAGTAAGCAGGTGGCCTGCCAGTCCTATGCCTATTCGAGTATTCGTACCTGGAAACTAGAGGTTCGAACAAAGCGGTTCCTTCATTTTTGTGTGTACTATTGGCTATAATGTTGTCAATTTATTAATTGTAAGGTAAAAACGTCAAGAGTTGTAGAACAAAAACCAAAAAAAAAAAACCCAACAGAGCAGAAACAAAAAGATGGATGCAACTAATGCAACAACATCAACAGAGAAAACTTACTAAAGGCCTTGTTATACAAGACTTGACTACAACAGAGATAAGATGGTGTTAAAATGAAAGCTGTGCGAAAGCTTACAATGTATAATAATGATTATCTCTTTAGTCAGTAATGACTTTTTCAAAATAAGTTATGTTTTCCACAAAGCAATTATTAAGAATTATTTTTTATATAATCTAATTTTCTGTTTTAACGGGAGACCAACAGTGAACCATCACATGACACTCACGTAACATCTATTTTTAAGGGAAAAAAACAGAAAAATAAATCTAAAACATCTTTTGTATTCAGTTTCAAGCCCTTTATAAGGTTCAACAACAATCTAAATACTAAACCGTTATTACATGTACTTTACATTTGACATAGACTTTTTTAATTCTTTCTTCTGTTAATACCTGAGATCTGAACTAGTCAGCTCTGGCGGCAAATGTTGATCAGGGCAAAATTTCATGATTTTAAATCAACTTTAAAGGGCTTAATCCAGCGAAACATTTGTGTAGCTTATTGCAATGCTGCAGAGCAGGCATGCACAGTGCAGCACAACTCAAAATGTAAGGCGGGCCGTAATACTTTATGCAAAAACTTGTGCGGGCCAAAAGAGAATGGACAGGGGGGGGGGGAAGCTATAAAGAAAGTAATAATAATAAAAAATATTTTGTTTCATTGCTGACCACAAAGTGGGTGCTGGCAGGCCAGATGCCTGCTCACGGGCCGTATGTTGTGCAGGCCTGCTGTAGAGTGTGACTCAGAAATAATACAAGTCATCAAAAGCAAAATGTGCTCATCCCTCATCACAAGATATACTAACACCAAGTGAAAATTGTTATAAGTTATAGACAATTTCAAGCATAGAATTATTGAAAAAACATTAATAATGAAAACACAAAAAAAAAAAAAAACAAAAAAAAGTTTTTCAAACAAATCAAAAAATGTCTCAAAAAATAATTTTTTTCTTTACAATTTCAAGCATAGAATTATTAAAAAAAAATTAATAATAAAAACACAAAAAAAAAAAACAACAAAAAAAAGTTTTTCAAACAAATCAAAGAATGTCTCAAGAAATGATTTTTTTCTTTTTGCGACATGCTTTAAAAAACCCATAATTTCCCCCATAGTCATGCAGAGTAAAACAAAGATACACTTGATGTTTCAGTTAGGCTTCAGAAACCTAGTGTGTCACACGCATATATAGCAGTAGTTCACAAGTAGGTCAACATCACATAGGTAGGACAACATATTCTCATCATATTGACAGCTAAGGGACCAGTTTCATCTCGCCCTGATATCCTCCACAACAGCATTGTTTCAAAAGGGTGCTCTAAATCAGTGATGCAATGTGCCGTCAAATTTGTTGCATTTTACATTTATTTTAATTATTTAAAAAAAAATATATATATATTTTTAAGAATGTGTAAATAAGTAACAGAATTTACAAACATTTCATGTAACTAAGGCGTGAGGGTAAGGAAAATAGCAAATTTATCTGTGAGCGTATAGTTTTCCCGTCCCCAAAAAATTTCTATCGGTGACAGAGATCACATACCAATTTATTGAGAAACTTTGATTTATTTTTTAGATGGATTTGAGTACCGCCCAACACTAACAAAATCCATGTAAAATGAGATGCAAAACATAAACAGCATCACTATGTAATTTTTACCCTCTATTAAATATCTGGAGACCTGAGCACTTGTTCTGTTTTCAAAATCATTGTTATAAATCCAGAAATTAATGTAAGTCTACAAGTATAAAATGGATCAAACAGAATGTTCCAACATTACCAGCTGTCCTAGAGTAGGTGTAAATGTAGGATTAGGACACAGTCAATAAAATCTCCGCTTCACTAAAGAAAAATTCTTTAAATAGTTTCTGTCTGTCAAACAGTGGCTGCATTTTTTTAATCTGCCCAATCACTTTCCTGTTTGTACAAAAAAATTTACGTTAAGATTTACTCATTGTAACATTTTTTGATACATTAACATCAGGTAGCTTAGAGCCATTTAGTCCAATATATGAATTGGAGATTTTTTTTCAGAAACAAAGTTGAAGTTGAACTTGATAACTAGGGACACATTTTCAAGCCATACAGTTTGAGACAAAAACAAGAGATTTTTCACACATTTTATTGTAGTCACAGTGGCATTCCATTCGGAGTATATCTAAATCCCACCACCACCCCCAACAGTCTACGTTTCACCCCATATTATGGTATTTCAAATACAACTGCAGAAAACAAATCTTCAAATTTTCCAGTTGGCAGTCTGCTTATATTTACATGACTGGTTGACTCAATGTCAGATGTGTGCTCTCACCATCATTACACACCAGCCTAAGATGCAGAACGGCATGCACACAGCAAAGACATATTCATTTCACATCTTTGATGACCTACACTAAAACACAACAATTTCGCATAATTTTATTGTGAGGCTCAGAAATATGACTCAAAATAATATCAAGCCACTGATTCTGAACAAGGAATTTTTTTTTCAAACTGGAATGAGCGACTGCCTTGCAAGCTCAATGAAGTAAAATTCTTTAAAAAAAAAAAAAAAACATTTTGAAGTAATCATTCTAAAAAAAAATGTTTATTTAAACTAAACACAGGTATTATGAGCAATTCCACAGTGTTGGTCATCGTAAGGAATTTTTTTTTCAAACTGGAATGAGCGACTGCCTAGCAAGCTCAATGAAGTAAAATTCTTTAAAAAAAAAAAAAAAACATTTTGAAGTAATCATTCTAAAAAAAAATGTTTATTTAAACTAAACACAGGTATTATGAGCAATTCCACAGTGTTGGTCATCGAATCATGAGTTAGTCCAGTTGTTGTTTCAATATAACCAAAAGATAAAAACACACAAAAAAAAAACAACAGAACCTCAACCAGAGTTCTTCCATCACATCACAAACATTGGATCTTTTATATAACTGAAAACTGAAAGAAACTTTTATTTAAAAAATGTGAAAAAAAAGAGTTTGATAATAAATAAACAAGTTTATTCATGCAGACACACAAAGGGGAATGTCCTATATTGCACAAAAACATCCCCCGTAAAAACAAAACAAAAAATCTGCATAAGTTATATTATTTTAAAAAATATTAATAATAAAATACAGGAATTTTTGGATGGTATGTGTAAATTACAAATTGTAGTCGTCAGGAAATTCCACTTTAAAAAAAAGACAGCTGTTTTACATTTGATAACACTAGTTAATTTAGGTGATCACATGACCATGTCTACAAAATTTTACTTGTTCTCTCTCTCACTCTCTCTCTCCTCTCAACACTGATGCAAATAAAATATGTAGGACAATAACCGGTGCAGCCAGACAAAGGCAGTCAGACCAGTCACAGTGATGGTGATTTTTGTGGTCAAAATGAGTGAAGTGTGAAAAGTAACGATGTAGACATGAGGCTAAACAATGTTTTTACAATCACTTGGAGAGCTCGTTGGAAAGCCAGTCCAAGCCTTCATACAGTCCTGTTCCTTGCGTGGCAGTTGCACCTTGAATGTACCACTGCAATAAAAGCAAACCCATAACACATAATGAAACCTCTTAATGAATGAAATGTTATATAATCATAACAAAAAAATTATGTTATTTCGACAATAACCTAGTAATTATAATTATAATACCCCGGTAACAGAAGTTGACTTAATTAGTCGCCATAGCCTGCAGTATTATTTCTAACCCTTTAACAGTACTGATATTTAAAATCTGTTTCATTTATATTTTTAAACTATAACTTCATAACTGTTATTTTCAACAAAGAAAATTATGCATTACTGCTTTGTATTTTAATAATATTCCATTCAAGTTTTCTTTCCTACTGACAATAACTGACGAGACGTTTTTTGAATTTATGTCTTTCTGTCTGCACCTTTAATTTTTCATTTATTATATGAGATATCTTTTTTTTTCTCAAATTTTAATCATACAACACCCCCCTCCGATAATCAACGTCATTTTTGCTAAACCCATACTGGCATTAAGCAGTTGTTTACACCCCCAGCATGAAAAAAAATTTTTTTTTTAATTTAACAGCTATGAGGGAATCGGCTTGTCTTACTTTTCTGTTCCTCAAATTCTGAAGTCCAAGAGCTGTTGTTATATCTGCACATGACATGGCATTGGGGAGGTCCTGTTTGTTTGCAAACACCAAAAGTAGAGCATCTCTGAGCTCATCTTCTTGGAGCTGCAAAAGATCCCATCAGTTAAATGGTTTTTGAAACATGTCTAATGCATTATTCTAAAATTTTTAATTAAGCCTGACAGTTTTGACATTCACATTTGTTAATCCCTTTTGAAAGGGACTGTCAAGAATTGAATCGCATGTCTATGTTGCATAGGGTATGAAATGACATATGAAACACACTGTACACCAGCACACAAAACACTTGAAGCAAAATTCTTTCCAGTCATTGGTTATAAACTTTTATTTCAATACACTTTAACACGTTCTCCCATTTGTAATGTGGGTTCCGCTTACAAGCTTAGCCAAAGAACCACATATACTAATGGGATCTCTGGCAACAATGCTAACATAAACTGTCGTAACATTGATACGTTCAGCATCCGACACACTCACTCTCCCCCTGCTCTACTGATCACCTGCACACAACTACCCCCCTTAAAGATCCCCTCTCTTTATAGCATTCCTACGCTTATAGTCCGATCCATGTTCAGGCACACTAACTCTATTCTCATTCACAACAAATGGACCCTCCCACAAAACAAACTTTCAGGGATTCTAACACTTTGACAGGGAATAACTTTAATTTAGTATGAAAGCTTCATAAAATTATGTTATGAAATCAAAATTAAAGACTAATATTCATAAATATTAACTCATTCCTTACAGCAGTGCTACTTCCGTACTTTAACTTATATACCTGAGTAGCTCCGTTTTGCAAATGATTTACATTTGTAAAATACTTTTTTAACCTGCTAAATATTATTTAATGTTAATGAATTAAGAACAAATGCTCCAAAAAAACGAATAAGGTTTAATAAAAAATATAACATTAGCGGTGAAAAAATAATGAATAATGAACAATGCCCAAAAATTCGATTTTTGGCACCTCGGACGAACACATGCTAGATATAGATGCACCATACTAAAGCACACGTAGTTTTAAAGTAAAACAAGATAAAAACTTCCGGTTTTTAAATTGGAATCATGCCATCGCTGGAAGTCGCAAGGGATGCGAGATTTCATTGCTATTTTTAATTAGAATAGAGACAGGGCGCATTTTGCAGCATTCGTCAAAACCCCAAAGGACGCATTTAGCCACAACCCCTGGGAATGAGTTAAGATGGAATCCATGTTTTAGTATTTCCATCAATGTTTTAAGTACACCGTCTATAAAAAGGGTTGCAGATGATTTACTCTACATACCAACTGGTAATAAAATATATTAAAAAATAGTTCAAATGTAGCAAGAACCTCAAGTGGCTCTTTGGAACATAAAATTTTAAGTCTGCTTAAGGTAAAACTGAGAGCTATCTTGGAGCAACAGTATATAGTTTACATTTATTTAAAAATTACAGATAATTTGACTTAAAATTAAGGTATTTGTAACGGACTATGTTTTCACATGAAAACAGAGAGGTAGCATGAGTGAACAGTGAATGGTGTTGACCATGTTTTGTCCACGGGGACAATGAATTGTAGTTTGAGAGGACAATGTGAGCTCCACGTTTTTGGAGAGTAAAATTATGTTTTTGTCAGAGCGGTTGTTTTCCACGCTTTGCTGGTAATAAAGTATGAGTTGACTGAGATAAGGAGAGCTGAGCGCAAGGAGAGTCAGAGTTAGTCGGAGTTGAGTTAGATTGTGTAAACTGTGATTTAATAAAGTACTGTCAGTTTAACCAGGATTCAGTATTCTTATTTGCGTGACTGGATAATACGAGGAAGAACGATGAAGTCTTAGCCGGCATTCTGAATTACTAACTTAAAAAAAGTAACCATGCTACTGACATAACCCACAGCCTAAGAAATAAGTTACAATGATAATGATGTCAGAGCATGTGTGTTACAGTATTTCAAGGTCCAACACACAAATTATGACTGACAGTGATTTTCCATATAAACATTACCATTTTTGTCAGTTCATCCTTTGATTCCGCTAACCTTTCTCTGTCATTGCTGTCAACTACAAATATGAGGCCCTGAAAAAAAAAACACACAAAAATTATGTAAGTTGCTCCATTAAAATAAGTTATTGATTCACAATACTTGGGGATTTAATATGATCAGAGAACATTGAAGAGGTTAAGTTCTGGATGTTGCGTCAGAAGTTATTATCTTACCTGTGTATTCTGGAAATAATGCCTCCACAAAGGTCTAATTTTATCTTGACCACCAACATCCCACACAGTAAAGCTTATGTTTTTGTATTCTACCGACTCAACATTAAAACCTGTAGAAGACAAATTAAATTGTGTATATTGTATTGAATGATGATAAAGTTCTGTAACCTTTAAGTATCACAAATAGTCTTAACTCTCAAAGTATGTTATATTGACTTTTCTGTAGTGAGAGACTGGTGGATTATATTATATTTTTTTCTCACCTTTTTTATATACCAATGTTATTTTAACATGCAACTGTAATTTCATGGATAAATTTGATAAAAATATCAATTTTAAGTGTAAATTTTGTTTTCTAATTTTGTAAAAATTTAGTCCGTGCACCGTGTTTTTGTTTTGTCCATGACACGATTTTTGTTAGCCATATTGTCAATCCAGTCAGGCTTCACAAAATGCCGGTAGCACAAAATGATACCCCAAAAAAACCGGAAAAAAAAAAAAAAACCCCAAAAAAAAAAAAAAAAAAAAAAAAGGCTCAACATTTATCTTCAAAGGACTTTTTAAAATTATATTTCAAGTCAAGAAAAGTTTATCAAGATTATTAATATCAGGTTTATAAAACAGAGAAAAAAACTTCTGTTTCCTTAGTTAAATATCTGATTCTCTGGTTAACAGAAATTGTCATAGTTCATAAACAATATTGGTACCCAGTGTGGCATATTTTATTTTATTTTATTAAATAGGTTAAAATTGTTTATCTTCACTTGATGATAATAATAATAATAATAATAGTATTTCTCTCATGAAACACCTGCCTTGTTTTCTTATAGCTTTTTTTTTTTTTTTTAAAGAAAAGAACAAACTTTTTGAAATTTTAAACTTATGAATGCATTTGTAAAGTGGAATAATTAATAAAAATGTTGGTAAAATTGATTGAAAGTTTTATATGTATTGTTAAAATGGATACCATTCATGCATATAACAAAGATTTTAACTTAGGCCTCAATACTTATTTTTTTTTTTTTGCTTTCACCTGTTTTTGAAATCTTGACATTTGTGTAAAATTTTAGCACACCTAAAATGCTAATCTTTTGGCCATAAATCAATAATAATTAATAAAAATTTTGGTAAAATTGATTGAAAGTTTTATATGTATTTTTAAAATGTATTTCATTCATGCATATAACAAAGATTTTAACTTAGGCCTCAATACTTATTTTTTTTTTTTTTTTGCTTTCACCTGTTTTTGAAATCTTGACATTTGTGTAAAATTTTAGCACACCTAAAATGCTAATCTTTTGGCCATAAATCAAAGCCATAATTAACAGTGAACTAATAATTGGTATCAAATAATAGATCATCCAATAATATGTAACATGTAATTACTATGTTCTTCATTTAACAAGCAGCAAGATTGTAAAAGTACCCAATGAGATAAAAAAAATGCTTTAAAAAATGTTAACATTACATCAAGTTTCATTCACCAAATTTAAGTATATTAAGTAAAATGGATATTAGAACGAAATTGTAAAAATATATTACCTATTGTTGGAATGGTGGTAACAATTTCGCCCAGCTTCAGTTTATATAAAATTGTTGTTTTTCCTGCTGCATCCAGACCAACTGTGTTGAGAATTTAAAGACTAAGATCAATTTACATTATTTAACTACATTTCTAAAAAGCATAACATAAAAAACATCATTTAACATCCTGAGAAAGTACTGGATTTTGAAAGCAATCTAAAAATGTATAGTTAAGTGAAATTACCAATAAAATTATAAATTATTTTAATTTTAATCTTAGTTAATTTTAAGGGCAGTTTCATCAACCTCCTCTTGTGTTCTGATGACCCACGCTTGAAAAAAAAATAATAAGCAGAGAATGATAAGACCATGAAACAATGTTATGATTGAAATGTTCTGAAAAATAACAAAATAGCCTATGCTTCCAGCAATGATACTTCAGCAGCAGTTACTAGGGGTGTGCCGGAATCCGGTTCCGCCGGATTTTGCACTATCCGGTGAAATCCGGTTCCGCCGGATTTACATGTATCCGGAACAACCGGATTCCGGAATATACCGGATTTCGGAATTTGCCTGATTTTGTGACTCACCGGATCATAATCTGAAATAAAAGTAATTCTCTTTCCCGAATTCCACACGATCACGATATATTAATCGATTGTTTCGAGCGTTGAGCTTGTTTAATGTTTAATATTCCGTACATACCAGAGGCTAGAGTCAGCACCGCTAATAGTGGCCAATAGTGTAGGGACTTTGATAAGAAAATTTAAACTTTTTGTAAAAATAAACCAATGGCATAGTTGAAAAGATGTAATTTTTTAAAGAATTATAACACCAAAATCATATTTTTAGCTGTTGTAGTTTTAAAGTTATGAATTTTTAAAGTACGACTTGGTTTGTCATTTTTTAACATGGACTGCATCTCCACATTCTGTGATCTCATTCCGCCAATCCCGTCATGCGCAATGACTATATAGTTTATATAAGGCAACGCATTCCCTGCCTTATCACTAAAATACTGTTTAGACTTAGTTTAAACTTTCAACTTTGGCACATGAATAATTAATTAAAGCTTTCCCTGACCAATGGTTTAATAGTTTTTGCACACGGCAAACTCTTATGAATGAAACTCTGAGGTAGTACTACGATACAGTTATGCAAGTGGCTGTGAATGGTTGCCAATGACAACGTGTTGCACACGGTAAATTCTGATCATTTATAATATGGATTCTACCGGGTTGTTAAAGCTCAAATTAAAACATTCCAGTTTAAATGTCTTTAAATGCATTCTGAAACACAAGTTATCAATTATTTTGATGTAAATAGTGATAATATATTAATATTTCCTAAGTATCGTCAACTTCCGCCATTAAAAAGGGGGGCGTGGCCAACCCCATGGCGAAATTAGGTTGAGCGAGCTGCATGACCTGCTGCGAACGCGTAGAAACATGGCGTCTCTCGTAAGACACTTATCCAAATGGAACGGAACTCAAATATATATCGAAAGTACTAATTTAATAATAAATAGACACACACATCGGAAAATTAAAAACTCAGATTTTTTGGCGCCGATTGCGAATTCCCATACACAAAAAGTAGTAGTCCACCTTGACTTACCGAAGTATCTACCAATAGTACCAAAATCCGGAATCCGGGAGAAACCGGAATATTCCGGAATCCGGATTAATCCGGATCCGGTTGGAAAAAACGGATCCGGCACACCCCTAGCAGTTACCTTAATGATTGAACTTACTTTGATAAAACTTTAAAAGTTTTTGGTCTTAAGCGATCTATAATAAAAGTATTTGATATATTTAATTGTTTGATCCATTTGAAAATAAAAGTTTGAAGTTCATCTATTTTTAGAAAGGACACAAAGTAACGTCTTTCTCATTCTCGCGCCATGCCTAGTAACGGCCTTAAATCTAAACAAATGCAATTTACCAAAACTTGGTGTAAACTCAAGACACTGACAACAAAGCTTGGTAACATAGATGAGAACCAACCACAGTTCCGCTTGTAGTTATTTCCACAGAAACAAGACAAACAAACTTGCTGGCTTAACACCTTCAGAGCTCTGCTCAGTGCTGGAGTTAGAAGGTGCTGAGGCAGCCCTTCTTTACTTTTTGGAGATATTTAAAAGCAGTGCCCAGCAGATGTGGATAGAACCCAGCAGATGCAGCCATACCCTTGTCATTGTGAGGGCCATAAAGAACAACTACTAGCTCTGACCCAAAAACGTATTAGTTTTATGGCAGTGTCTTTTTCGGCGACCGGACAAATAGTGCTGGATATATTCTTCCGGGGGCATGTCACGTGACCGCCGGACAACTATTATGTGTTATTATTCCGGCAGACATGTCAATTGAAAAGAGGTCGCCAGCAAAATAGTTACATTGCATATAATGTTCCAATATTGTGTATGTATATTAGTCAGCCGATCCCTAGATAATAATAAATACTAAATATCGTAATATTTTCAAATGCTCTGAGATACATAAAGTGTATCATAAGCTTTTGACTTTGAATTAATACTATTATCATACTAGTAGGCCTACATAACTCTCTATTAGTCTATTTGAATCCGACTCTTCAAAAAAAAAAAAAAAAGTCTGTTATCTTGGTTTAATTCAGAGGCATAGCTAGATTGTTTGGTGCCCGGAGACAAGATTCATTTTAAGGCACCACCCTCTTTCCTTTCTTTTTTCAACTCTGAAACCCATTATTTTCATAAATAAAATAATATAAAAGCACATTTTGGCGTCCCTAACTAGCCTGGCACCCAGTGACATCTCCCCCTCCCCCCCCCCTGCTATGCCTCTGGTTTAAATGTCTTATAAAGCTCTACCTAGTAGCCCAAATTTAAAATATGAACCAAACAAAGTAAGACCAATACCTGCTAGTTGACTTTCAATAGACCTACGTCAAAAAAGTGTTATTTTAGGCTATTAATATTGTGTGAGAAGTAGGCTACACCAGCAGCACACTATATTGGCCCTATATTCTATATTAAGATGTATGGTCTTATTTCTTTGTGAACTATTGACCTCCCCGCTTTAATTATTTATCACCCTCACTTTCATTTTTATCCTTTCTCTCTCTCTCAGTATTCATTCCTTCTTGTATGCATCGCTTCTGCCCAGCCCTATTTGTTGAAATAAAGTAAACTCGTCGCCCACATGCATCTCCGAAGCCATTTTGCTGATCGACTATTAGCGGTCACGTGACAAGGCTGACATAAAATATCTCGTGCAACTTTGTTAGGGCGGTCATGTGACGTGGTCGCCGGGCGCGTAACTGGAGAACTTATTTTGCGCATAACTAGAGAACTTATTTTGCGCGTAACTGGAGAACTTATTTTGCAGTCGTCGGACATGTAGACATAGTTTTAGTAATTACTAGACATGGACTTATGTAACTTAGCGGTGTATCACTAAATCACTACTAAATTACCAAATCTTTAAAATAGTGTCACTAGTCACAAAGGAATAATTTACTATGACAAATCTGAGATCTGGAATGATGCTTTTTTTTTTTTTTTTTTTTTTTACTAGGCGTAACTAGGCTTGGGCAGGCAAGTTAATGCTTGATTCCCTTCCCAAAGAGGTTGCAATGCAGCTCTACCTAATAATTAAGAATAAATTCTAACTGCAGAAATATCACGGTAACTCATTATTATTGACTAGACTTGAGAAAAGTAGACTACAACTAATTTATTTAGGTCTACTAAAAAAGTTTAATCCGATGACAGTCGACACCGATGACAATGACAGGAAGTGAAAACTTACCCATTAGGATTCTCATGTTCCTTTTGCCGAAAAGGCGGTTAAACAGTGATGAAAGGGACAAACCCATCTTTAAGTTGCCTCAAGAACTTTCGGTGTTTAGTATTTTCACTTACTTAAAGATAGATAAAGTAGAAAATGGTGAGATTTAGTGGTAAAACCTATAATGCCACGTCAATTCTTCCAGCCCCCAACACACTGACGTCACAATAATTCACGTTCTACTCTCTAACAAAATGTTTAACTAAAATCGAAGATAAAAGAGTCAGATCGGGAAATTAAACGAAAGAAAGCTATACCATCAAATAATTTGTTAAATGCTCACTTATTGGCAGGCGTAATACCATGTAACTGGGAATGGGAACTTTCTGATAATTGAAACACGTGTACGATAGAAAAAATCTTATTATTATAAAAAAAATGTATGCATTATTAGTCGTACAATTATATATAAAGTAGGGCGTTGCTCGGTGTTCGAGGCGCTAATCAGTGGGTGAGTGGCATATCTTGAGTTTGTGTCCCCTGCCCTGGGCGGTCCCTCCTCGCAACATACACTAAGGGGCCCTCCATAGTGTACGTCGCGCTGTTTTTGACCATTTTTACCCCCTCCCCCTTTCCTGTCACAAATCTCGCCCCCCCCCTCAAAGTACGTCACACTTTCGAACAAATTTTGTTAAAAATTAACACCTAATTAAAATTTAATCTAAAACACACTTCACTATTAATAATTAAAATGTATTAAACTATAAAATTTCCAATTAAAAGAACTATCCCATTATTAAAATTACTTTAATAGTAGAATATTAATTGTCAACAGTTGTCACAGTTATTCATTGAAGCAGTAATTCAATCTAGATTGAATTTGAAAACAAAAATTGCAAAAATTAGACTAGACAATTATATAATACACATCATTTATCTGCTGCTTTTTCATTTACAAAAGGTGAGATCACGTTTTAGAAAATTTCCGATTATGCAATCTTTTTACACAGGATAAGAAGTAAATTAGTGAAACTTGACCTCACCCAGTGATTAAATAATAAAAAGGAAACAAAACAATTTAACTAAAAAATACTAGATTAGCAAATTATGTGACAAACTCTTGTGCTATATTGAATATGTTTATTATGGGCCTGTGAATTATGTTTAATTCAAAAATATTCACTGGACATCATCCATCCATGGGGAAGTGAAGTGTCATCCATAGTTACGACTGGCATCAATCTTTCACCATCATCGTTTCCTGGAAGGATAATTGCAGACAGATCAACTTCATCCTCATATAGCCACTCAACATCCTCTGAATGTGCATTTTCTCTCCTGGCAATAACTGCCATGAGTTCCCTTTGCCTTCTAGCAGCGATTCTCAAAGGACTGATCCGTTTTATCTGAGTTGATTCTGGAACAGTT